ATCTTCGTCCGGCAAATGGAATGCCAAAGCTTGGTTAAAAATAAGCTGTGAACTAATTTGACACGAAGCCGTCCGTTTCTTTTTAATGGATTTTGATTTGCGCAGAAGCTTTACTCTTGCCCAGATATCTAAAAGTTTCAGACTGAAGTTCATGCAAAAAACAATTTTAATGTTAAATTTTACAGCTATAGGAATTCTTTTAGGCACTGTAAAAATCTGACCGAGGGCACGAACTCAGGCCTGTTTGCATAAAGGGAATTTGAAAGATTTGTAGACAATATTTGGTACCTGCCCCAGCGGTAATGAAACCAAAATTCTGGACCTATTCAATATCCTCCTTCCTTAAAATATGGATTAAACCATTGAAAGAGAAAATAAACCTTCACAATTCACTCTGACAATTGCTATAAAACAAACTCATTTATCGTAAACGTACTAAGACAGATAATAATTTAAACCTGAACATACGCAATTATTTAAAACATTAAAAATGTGTACTCATACTTTTAATCGACAGCGCTATCAAGTTCTGCAATAGTGAGATTCTTAAATGAGAAATGAAACGTAAAAATTAACCTATATGAGATGAAGCTCAGTTGAATTCGCTATTTATATCTAATCCGCAAAATTAAGATGCTTAAAATGCTTTGCAATGCAAATAATTAACCTCAGAATACCTTTCATAAAAACTTTGGTGAAAGGCTGCTAGGCTTGTTTACATTAAGCATGATATTAACATACTAAATAAAAACTATAATACTCTTAATACCATTCAAAATAACTCTGAGGATGATATCTTGCCAGGCTAGGTTTATAAATTACCACGAAATTACGGGGAATATTACATAAGAGAAGCAGGGGACGCGGTCACTCAAATGAAGAGTACCCATCTGTCCCGCTGAAGATGGATCACGGTTGAGTGTGAACGGAAGAAAATAAAACCTCGAACCCAGCTAACTCAAGATCTAGTGCGAAAAGACCTCTGGAGTCAAAACACGCCTACTGGTCAGAATGTACCAGCATCATCAAAAAAGAAACAGGCTGAACAGGCAGGTTAAATTCGGCCATGCAAAAGACTCAGTGGTGATAAAAGATGCAGGCTTTGCGCCACTGAAGGAGCCTCCTCATATCCTCCGCCTATAAGCCATTATACCGGTAGCACGATCTGAATGCTTTCTTCTCGGCTCGAAACCCACCTACCAGCACGGTTTTGTCACAGCTTCATTATGAGGACGACCCGAGAAATACTGGCTGAAACGTAGGCATCAGTCAATCATTCGATAGAGTATATTTTGCGCTGTGTGTTAATAAACTTTTCTTCTACTGTTCTTCATCTTCATCATTATTTTCCATCACCGTTTCTCCTCTCGATTTGCGGAGGGAGACGCGTCAGACAGTGCTTCCATCGTTCCTGATCCTGTGTCAGAGTCTGAGCTTCGGCGAAAGACAAATGCAGTCTGGAACAGACTCCTTCCATATCTTTGCACCGGGTCAC